TCAATGAGCTTTTCATTCTATTCCCTCGTCATACAATAATCTAAGCCATGAAATGTTCCCTTAAAATCTATACTTCCCTAAAAAAATCTCTCCTCAAACTTTGAGTGGAAAACATGATATTTGAAAAATCTTGCAGCCAACCAACAAATGTCATAAAAGTGGTAACCAATAAGATGGTATTTATCAAAATTGAGAGGGGGTTTTACTAATATGGCCTTCTAGCTAGTATCATGTCTTTTTGGTAGCATATAAAATTTTTCAACACTTAAATATACCTTGAGTTTTCATAAATTGGCTTAAACAATACCCCTAAGCCTTAGAGATAGAGCTAAATATACATTTCCAATGTTATCTTACATGGTTTCAATGAAAAGACAAATTTGTTAATTGTAGACGTATAAAACATGGTTGTCTTTTGCCTTGAAATACCACCTTACAAACTCTACTACCCATAGAAAAATAAAAAATAAAAAACAATAATTTGATATTTTCTTCCAATAATGATGCTCAAGGAAGGGTCATTTGCGCACTTTTCAATCAACTTGACCAAAACCAATGTAATTCACACCATAGTGCATGTGTTTTTTTCCCTTCCAACACCATATTGTTTGTTAAAAAGCTCCAAAGAGCAAAACTCTCAACCCTTGTGATAAGCCTCACATATTAGATTTATTAGAGTTGTACTCGCTAAAAATTGTCGTTAAGGCTTTCAAATCAAGGGGATTATTCAAATGCCAACATTGGAGTAAGTACTACCATGTAAGCATCTTCGACCTATGAGGAAGGTTTTTAGGAGGCCAAAGGTGTTTCTTCATTGATGAAGAGAAATAAGTGCATGCTTCAACTATATTTTTAGTGATGTGCAATAGTGCTATACATCACTAACATGGCTAGTAAAGATTTGATCTTAAGTGTGAAGTTATAGAAGATTATTGCTAATGTCTGGTTTTTAATTTGTTTGGTTTTTTTACTTTATTAAAATTATCCATTTTGTGTATTTAGAGTTGATATTGTATTTTTTTTTTCATAATTCTAAGCTATGTTTTAGTGTATGTATGAATTGTGTTCCCTTTTGGTTCATCTAGTACTTTGGAAATTTGAGATATTATGCTCAAAATTTTATTATTTGAATAATAAGTTATGGGTTAAAAGTGATTATTTTTTATATCAACTTTAAACTGATTATTCTTTCTGATTCATTTGAATTTCAATTGGGCAAAAAATGACACTAACTCCAAATTCAAATGGGGAACTACGCTCGTTTTGGGTGGGGATTATAGGATTTGACAAAAAAATGCTTTAAAATTAAAGATAGATAAGCTAAAACACAAATCAATGATTTACATATTTGAAAAAAAAAAAACGATCACTAAACCCGTATAGAAAATACAAGTTTTGGGCAATCATATGGATTCAATTGAGGAAAAGGCGCCACTTTGCAAAACACAAATGGGAAAAACTTGTCACCACAAGCTCTAAAATTTGTCATAAACCACAAAAAATTGTTCCTTGTGGAGGATTCTCTGAGGCTTAAGTCAAACAAAGAAGATTAAAAAAAAAAAAAAACATAAGGAGAGACAGGGTTTCAACAACATAAGTTGTGAAGTAAACACATTGGGTTGAATGCCTTTATATTGAATAAGGTTTTAAAAATCAAACTGGAAACAGAACTACATTAACCATCAATGTTCAAGTCAATAGTTTAACCGACCATGTCAGACAATTAAAACAATCAAGTTCATTAAAACATGTACTTTTAATTAGGGTAAGAGGGATATATATTATTAGTATTAGAGGGAAGAGAATGTGAGAAGTGTGGCTGTTTGCCGAGAAAGAACAAAAGAAATAAACCAAAAAACAAAAATGAAAGAAATAAAGGAAGGAGAAGAATAATAATTGGTGGTGGTGATGTTGACCGGCAACTATGACAATGATTATGTCATAGACATCATCAACGATTGTCGTCACCACTTGTTTCTCCCCTCCTCCCTCTCTCTTGATTTTCATCTCCCTCCTACCATTGTAGACAATTTCCATTTTCTGTTTGGGTTGTTTTAGTTATTAAAAAATAAACATTTTATTAATTTGTGAACCATCATTTGGATGAAATGATTTAACGGTTCAACTATTTATTCATGCTTATGGTTTGTTAACCAATTCAACAATGTTTTTTTTTAGAAAATCCATGCCATGTGGTAAATGGAACTGTACAGGTGATTGACTCTTAGGTTGAATGGTTTGACCACTTGGGAGAATGATGGTTTTAAAACCATGATATAGAGGGGGGATATGGTCAAGGGAGGATTATATTTCCTTATTTGGCATGGTTTTTTATGTTAGTCAATCTTCCACTTTAAGATTTCCTCTTTTACATTCGTTTCCATCGATGCCTTTTCTCAATTTGACCCTTACAAGGGCCACATGTCACTCCTAACTAGTGGTTGAAAATGGTGTTGTATTAGGTTATAATAACTAAAAAACACTCTTTCTTCTATAAGATCCATATGGACAAAAATTGTTGGAATTTTTTTTGCATGGATTAGATAAAAAACAATAAGCTTGAACCCTAAACATAAAAAAAAACCATTAATCACTAAAATCATATAGGGAAAAGACAACTTTTTGGAGTGACAAAACCTTGTGTTTTTTTTTTTTTAACATGAGAGATTGGGATGAGTGGAGTAGAGAAGAAAAAGAGTGAACTATAGAATGGAGATTTGTTAAGAGAATAAACTTATGTGAGTCTTTAAACTTTAAATTCACATGCCTTCACTAGTATATCTGTAAAGGGTAAGATTTGAGTTGGGATCTATTGGTGTCATTTAACAAGTATTTTTAACTAGATCACTCCATTAATCAGAAAAATGTGCTAATTAGGCTTGTTGTAGTTGGTCTTCATAGACCAAATACTGTTCGGTAGTCATTTATTTTGAGAGATCTTGTCACTTGATTCAGGGGTGGCAAGTGAGTGAATCGGGTTGGGTTGGGTGAGGGTTGAGTATCAATCCACCCACATTGACCCTCTAACCCATTTGCCACCCCATTTACTGGGTCATAGTGGGTCAGAACCCACCCTAACCCACCCATATGACCTGCTACTCCAAGGCAAATATTAAGAAAATACAAACATTCTACCCAAACAAAAATACAAACTTGAAGAAAATTACTAACATAAAAAAGTTGCAAAAAAAGCATGAAAAACATAAAAATTGATATAAATTTGTAGGGAAAAGGAAAACGATAAAATAAAAAATATTGTTTTAAAAAGTAGAAATTGCATAAAATTCCAATATTGAAAAAATAAAACAAAATTTTCAACCCAACATTAATTTCGTTAATTAATAACCCCTTTTCTCATTAAATTCGTTTTATTAGTATAAAACTATAAACTTAGCAATAACAAGATTCAAACCTTGGACATTAGGCTTTAACAACCAGAGGTTCACACTAAGGCACACCCATTTGCTTGTTATAGGTTTATGCATTTTTATTTTTAAATAAATCTTCTCTTTTTCTTAGTGTATGCTTATCAATAAATGTTAGAATTAATTATTAAAATTTATGTATTAATAAATATAAAGATAAATTATGTTGATTGTTTTAAAACTAATATATATCAATATACATTTATTTATTTTTTGTTTTTTCACGTTTTAGTTATTCCATCATTTGTGAATAGTTACTAAGTGTGTCCCGGTATCTTGAATTTTATATAGACCATTAAATTACAGTTTTTTTTTTTTTTTACTTTTAAATAACTTATTTACAATCATATAAAACTTGTAATTATCGTTATTAATATATTTTTATGATTTATTTGAGTTTTTTAGCATATTTATGCATATCTTGATTTTTCGTTTGTATCTATACGTATCCAAAGCATATCTTGATACGTCTTTTAAAATTATCTTTCTGATACATCTTACCTTTCCAATACTTTAAACCTTGGATTGTGGTATGAGTTTACATGTACAAATTTTATACATGTGTGATTCAAGAACATATATACATTTGCACATGTGTGAGCTCCTTCAATATAAAACCTAAAAAATAGATATGTGGGCCCCCACCATTATACATAACTATGCAAATGGAGTGTATGGGTCCCACCAACACACAAGCTTCCACAAAAATGTTTAGAAGCTCTACCAACACGCAAACCATACATGTACTTTGGTCCAATTGATAAAAAAACTTTTAGAAAACAAATATGTCTCCCCACCAACACAAAACCTAAAAAGGGTGGAAGAAATGGCTAATCCATTTATATGTAAAAATGTTTTTATGATTTAATCGAATAGTTCAGGCTGAAGTTCGATTAAGCTCAATTAGAGTTTGTATTTTGAAATAAATTTGATTAATTATTCGAACTCGAATTCAACCAATAAAAAATTCAACCCAAGAGCCCATGATCCTGGCTTGATTAACACATACATACATGCATGTATATATATATATATGTATTATAGAATATAAAAATATATTTTATAATATATATTATAAAATATATAATACAATATAAAAATATACTATATCAATATATTTATAAAATATAAATATATATCCGTTTTTAAGGCTTTCGAGTTGAGATAAAATTTAAGTTGAACTCGAATTTGAACCTAATAGTATTTTAATGGAACCGAACTTAGCCAAAATCATGCAGAAATTCGTGGGATCGGTGCGATTTGATTACACCCATAAACCATGGTGGATATCGGGTCCAAAGTCCAAACAGCTCAATTTCATGGTTCAGTAGGGTAAAAGAGCCGGAACCGGAACACGTAATAGGGTTAGGGTTTGACTTTGAGCATGAACGGTAGACTCACAAATCATAATCACCAGCTCTACTCTACACGTGCGTGTTTCATCTTCCGTGTTACTGCTCTGCTCTAGCCTCTAGTGTAGCACCAAGCACCATAAATTGCCCATGGCAGCCTAACATTTTCCATTTTCTCTCAAGCACCCCTCGACTGACCTTCACATCTTCACAGGTAAGAAAACTTTCTTTCTTCATCTTCCTCGTCGAATATCCTAATCTCTATTTCTCCAATTCTCCTCCCTACTTCCAAGTTTTCAAACGCTACAAAATACTCGGAGTTTCGTTCTGAGACATCCCTCGATCTACTCTCCGTATTGTAGAACTAGAGAAGAAGGGCGCATCCATGGGTGGGGGAGGCGAACACGGTCACGCAGAAGGAGCACATGGAGATTTCAGAGCCAAGGTATGGAGCATGACCGGAGGCCCGTATTGCAGGCCTAAACATTGGAAGCGAAACACGGCAATCGCCATGTTCGGCGTCTTTCTCATCTGCATTCCCATCGCCATGAAATCCGCTGAGCTCGAGGTTCCCCTTTTCATCCTATTATACATTGCATACTTTCAAGCATTGAATTTTATCATTAGATTGTTCGACAGTTTAAGATCTGGATCCTGTGCCTATACAAATGGTGATTTTATTAATTGAATTATGGGAATATACTTTTGCAGGATCAGTGCTTTTATGAACACTGAGTCAATTGAGTTATGATATTTACTTTCTACAGAATATATTCAGAATCTGAAATGGTATGAGGTTTGGGCTTTGGCAAGCCTGGAAAAATAGATGTACTTGCCGGGAATATTTTAAGTGCTTTATTTTTTAATAATACATTGTTTCTGTTAAATGAATAATGGGATAAATGTTGGGAAAGGCAAAAAAAGTGGAAGCATAACCAATGAACTAAACAATTAAAATAATATTATAACTGATAATACTAAATTATCAATTGCAATAAAAAAACAAATCATGGCAAAATTTTATCCCGAGAGTTCATTGTTCTTTAGTCGGCTATTATGGTGTCAACAAAGAGAAGGGTCCCCTAAAATGTCATATAAGTGTCCACATGAATATGAAATCCATTTTGAAATGCCCATGTAACATAGTACCAAAGTACCTTTCAAAAAAAAAGAAAAAACATAGTACCAAAGTAAGGTGCTTGATCATTTTGTTGGGGAAGATCCTGGCTAATTCTGAATTAGGAGTCCAAACCAACCACATCTCTTGAACATGTGAGGAATTGCCTATGGTACATTTGTCTATTATATGATTTACAGAGGGGCCATTACTGGGTGTAATGGTAAAACCTCAGGCTGGCATGCATGAGAATGCAGATTTGAGTCTGAGGATGGACACTTTGTGTCCCTCCCTCCCCCCCACCCAAAAAAAGAAAAAAGAAAAAAAGGTTAGGACTGTACCAAGTATATCCTATAGCTGGGACCAACGTTGGGTAATGACCTTTTTTTTTTTCCTTATTTATTGTGTGTTTCACATGTCTTCAAAAAGTCATGTAATTGTTGGCGGTATGAAATGCTTATCATCATAATCATTTCACCCATTGATATTCTATCATTTGCATAGTCTCTCCTAGCAATATTATATGCTTTTTATTTGCTCCGAGTCCTGAAATGGAACCATGATCTATTTTGACTAGTTTAGCAGCTGGAAGCTACTTAATCAACAGTGTATTTCAGATGCTAATGATTGTTATAATCTAGGTATTACTTAATCATAATCTAAGTGTTCTGCCAACTATTTGGGGTCAATTCCATTAATTCTGTTTGCTCGTTCAATCTATCATTGGCTCTTTCAATATACAATTAAGTGCAAACATACTAAAGTAGCCCTCAAATTGGTAATGAAAGCTCAAGATACTTCTTGATATTTCTTCCCTCATAAGATTGTCTGGGAATAAATTGCTTGATCTAGGAACTCATTGGTAGGGGGTGTTCACTCTGCATTTCTAACATCCTGCCTCCCTAATCAATTTCAAGGCCATTGGATCTATTCTTGTTCACCTCCCTCCTTGCAATCTGAGAATTTTTTGATAGCTAACAGGGTACCATTTCATTAATGTAAACAAAGATTTGCAACGAGGTATAAATACCCCTAAAATACTTGTCAAAAAAATAAATTCCCCTAAAACACAGTCATTACAAATGAGCCCAATACAGTTACCCCTCGACTTGCTAAGGAATCTGCCAACCCATTATCATCCCTTGGAACCCACTGAAAAATTACTGTTATTCCCCTTAATAACCACTTAATCTTCTTCACGACTTCTCATTAAGTCCTGGATGCCTTCTTTTCATTGCTTATCCAGCTTACCACCACTTGAGAATCCCCTTCAACTATCAGTCTTCTCACATTTAACTCTTGCTACTTGTGCCTTATAAAGTACAACAAGCAATTCAGCTCTAGTTGAATCTCCTAGAGCAATAAGGCCCGAGAATAAGGCTATGATCCCATCTTTATCCCTAACCCCCCAATGCCTGAAGGGCCTGGGTTATCAAGGCTGCTCCTGCAAAAATTAAGTTTTATAAAGTTCTGCAAAGGTGGTTGCCGAACTTTTAAGTATCCTATTCTTCCTTGTAGACGAAGAAGCTACTTCCTTCCAATGTCTTAATATATCATCAAAAGAATAGGGTGAGAACAAGTCCAAGGATTTGACCCAATGAATCACCCTTATGATGATACGTTCCAAAATTGCTTCCACATTTCTCTCTTCTTCTTGAAGAGTCTTGCAGTTATTTCTCCCCAACCTGTCCATAATACAACAGCTCTAGTGCATCTCCACAAAATTCTTCCTCTTTTCCTTGATCACCTGAAAGTTCTAGAGTGTTGATTTTTCCATGATAGACCTCCTAACAAAAAACCTCTATTTTTAGGGGAGCTAGTTTGCACCAAACCTCACACACGGGAAAGGGGGACCCAATGAGAACTTGTGTAACCAGGTACTGGAGGAAAGAGGCACAAGAAGAGGAGCCTTTGGGGTCGGGAGTCCAAATTCTCTCATCAAATTTAAAAGGATCAATGAAATCTAAATCAAGGGTTTGCAAAAGTTCACTGACAAGGGAGCATTTAGCCTCTCTCAAATCTCTTCTGAAACCCAAGTTCCATGCCACCCTCTCAGAAATTGAATAAAAGGAAGAAATAGGCTCATTTTTGAACAAATAAATGTCATAATGAGAAGGGAAAGCATTTTTAAAGTAGAAACACCCACCAAAGGTCCTTCCAAAACAAAATTTTAGACCTTGAGTAAGAATCTACCTGATGAGATTAAGGAAAAGGAATACCACATAGATAGCTTTCTAGGGAGAGGCTAACATAGCTTTTTTTGATACACCAACACCCTAGCCATTTTGCATCAGCTCATGTAAACTTACTATCACCTTGTGCCAAAGCTTCTTACACTCCAGAGGGAATCTACACAACTATTTCCCCTGGAAGTGTTTGATTCTTGCAAGTCACATTCCCCACCCCTTAGGCCTCCTTGTTTCTTGTTTAATACACTTTTCCTACTTCACTAAGTGGTCCTTCTTTCCTTCCCTAGGTTCCCAAAGAAAATCCCTCATTAGTTTCTCCAACAAGTTAGTCACTTTCTTGGGTACCTTAAACACTGAGAGGTAGCTAGGAGGTTTGCCAAAGTAGATTTTTTTTTTTTTTTTTGATTTCTTTTAAAGGGCTACACAACGGGGGTAGCCCATTCCCCAACCCAGGTGCAAGCGGGATTCGATCAAGGGTATTCTAGCACCTAAAGAAATGTAATTATGCTTCCAAGCTGCTAACCTTTTTTCAAACCTTTCTACGACTAGTGTCCAAAAACTAACATTCCTTGGATTGCTCCCCAATGGTAGACCTAAGTACTTCAATGGCCACACACTAGTTTGACAACCTAGGACCTCTGTAATTGCTTCTAATTCACTTTCTGCTAAATTCACCCTTGCTACACAACTCTTCTCAGGGTTTACTTAGCTAGAGATCTTTTTCAAAAAGATTCAATAACAACCTCAACCTTCTTATCTGTTGCAAGTTAAACCCATCACAAAAAATTATTATATCATTTGCAAAGTGTAGGTGAGTGACTGCCACATCATTTCTCCCTACTCTCCACCCTCTTACTAGACCCTCTTGGTCAGCTTTAGAAATCAGTCTACTTAGGACATATGCAATTAAGGTGAAAAGGAAAGGTGAAATTGGGCCTCTCTATCATAGGCCTTTAGAATCTGGGAAGAAATCCCTTACCACACCATTAACCAACACAAAGAAATGACTAGTTTGTAGACACCCAACTATCCACTTACACCATTTTCCCCCAAACCTAATTCTTCAAAATCTCTATCAAGAAAGACCAATCCACTAGATCATAAGCTTTCTCAACACCCAACTTACAGACAAACCCTTCGCTTTTCCTTCTTTTCTCCTCCATGCACTCTCATTGACTATTCAAATTTGGTCCACTATTTGCCTATCCTGCACAAAGGCCCCTTGGGCATGTTTGGTAATAGAAGTGAGTACCACTTTCAATCTCAGAGAAAGGACTTTCGCCACTATTTTGTAGACACTAGTCACTAGGCTGATTAGCTTAAATTCTTTGGGGTGTGCAGCCTTTGGATTTTTTGAGATCAACACAAGAAAGGTAGCATTAAGCCTTGGTTTTATTATGCCTTTCTCATAAAATGCAGTGAAAACCTCAAACAAGTTAGGTTTGATTATATCCCAACAATCTTGGTAGAAAGCTAAGGTAAAACCTTTTGTGGTCCTGGTGCCTTAGATCTATTTGTGGAGAAAACAACACTCTTCATCCTACCAGAACAAATCTCCTCTCCAACATAACTCTACAAGACCCATCCAGCAAAGACCAATCCAAGCCTTCCACTTGCAAGTGATCCTCTGTTGGTTTCTTGAAGATTAGTTTGAAATGGGTGACAAAAATACTTGCTTTATCCTCTTGATTAGTGATCTCTGTTCCATCCCTTACTAACTTGGAAATGAAGTTCTTTTTCTTTCTCCCATTTACCACAACATGGAAGAATTTAGTGTTGCCATCACCTTCTTTTATCTACTTGTACATGGATTTTTGCCTCCAATTTATCTCTTCCCTTAAGAGAGTGTCCTCTAATTCTTTGTTTTTTTTTTTTTTTTTCTAAATTCCATCTTTGGGATTGATTGCCTCCTTTTTCCTCTGGTGTGGTTGATTTCTATGCCCACTTTCTTCCAATTTCAAACCTCTTTCAGTCTTTCTTGGCTGTTACCACCAGACAACGCTTCCATTCCCCTTTACTCTTGCAAATGGAAAGTTTAGAAGACCCTGCATAAGCAGCCAACTTTAATTAATTCATCTCCACTCTAGGAGCTTCTAGTGCCGAGAAGCTCGGGTTTCTCAACTCTTCTGCCTTCTTTGACTCCCCCCCCGGCAACCATCAAAAACTGTTGGCAAGCATGTTGCCATCTCCTTCCATCCCTCTGCTTTCCATCCTTCAGGGGTACACACTATTTGCTTTGGACCTTGTCCAAAGAACTCTGTCAAAGTTATGTAGCAGCCTTTCCCATTTCCTTTTCTTTCAGCAAGATATCTTTTCCCCCCTGCTTCAGTCGAGCTTTTACAAAACCCACTTCTTTCAGTGCTTATTGCTTCATCTAAGAAGCCTTTGAACCACTCTGTTGCTACACCCACCAATAAAACTGTTGTCATCCTCAGCTCCCTGACCTTCAAAGTTGGAAGTCCTCGTACATCATCTCCTCAGCTACAAAGGTCTTGGATTCAATCTTATGAGTTCTTTTCCAACCTGCTGTGTGAACAAAGTCTTCTTCCCCTTTCATTATCTCCGTTTGCTACTCCAACTTGCCCTTGTTAAGCCTGAAGGTACTGACTCCTCAATCATAGCTACAGGCAATGATCAAAATTTTGATACAATGTGCCCCATGTCGGGCGTAGTATCTTTTTTTTAATACAAAATTATATAAAAGTGGATGGTTTTTAATACAATGTATGTGTGTGTGTGTGTACCTGAAACCAATTTAAAAAAAAAACTAGAAAAAAAATAAAAGCGGATGGTTTTTAGTATTGGTACACCTCTGCTAATACATGGGCGTAACGACGATACTTTGAACAATAGCTATAGGTTCCTCATCTTGGTTTTCATAGCGCCATCCTCTGAATCAGGCTGCCCTCATTTTAAAATCTGCTCCTCACAACACAAAGTAACATCTCACAAGTTGAAATTTGTTTACAATCTGAGGATTCATTGATATAGATAGTCTAAACTAGTGTACTTACCAGTTGAAGCGTTGCCTGGCTTTTGACTAGGCTACATATTAGGCACTTAGATGTCTGTCACCTTGTTGAAAAACTTTGGTAGGTGGTAACTGTGCCAATGATAAGTGATTATCTCACATATTAATATATTTATGTGAGTTTGTGCAACCAATTTTGGGTTGACACAAGTGCATGTAGCACTCAACTTAGGTCTCTCTCTCTCTCTCACTTCGAATCGGGGAGGCTTAGAAAATCTTGTCCTTTTTCCCCTCAAAAATCAGATGACCTTAGATGTACTTCAATATGTATGATGGAATCAAATGAAGTTGAGCTACTTTCACTAACAAGGGGCTTAAACCAGCACAGTTATGCAGTCAATGTATATTGTCTGTGCATTTGTGCATGTATGTAATTATTCACCCAATTGGTCCTTTATATGCTAGAATCACCATTCCATCCTTACAATATTGCTCTATTATCATTTTTAGCCTTTCTCTACTCTTTTTAGTCTTTTTGGCATATATGTCAGTTTGCTCCTTGCTTGTGCTACCATGACATTTGTTGCATGCAAGTATGGAACTAAGCTACCTTAAGTAGTCTTTAAACTAGATGTTATCACCAGTCACTGCCTTCCTTTGGATGATGATGACCTATGTGGGCATCGGGTTTGGGAATACATGATATGCAAAACTTGAAACTATGCCATGAATAGCCTTCATACACAAAGGGATGCTAGGTATTATGCATGTAATAATCTTTTGATGAATTAATTGATTGCTCTCATAATAAAAAGCAACCTTTTTTTGATCAATAACAGTAATCCATTAGATTAATAAAAAATGTAGTTACAGAACTCTAGGGAGAGATAAAAAGGCTTACTCTCTCTAGGAGGACAACAAAGAAAAAATTACAGAACAGCCCAAAACATTTGATCCCTTCCCACCCCCTGCTTTGCCAAGGCATTTGCTATTCTCTTAACCCACTGAAAATGGATTTCTAGCCCTCTAGTTAGCCACTTAATCTCCCTCCTCTCATTAGCAAATTTCCAAAGTCCACTATTTTTTTTTGTAGCCAGCTTAACACCAACTTTTAGTCCCCTTCGACAACTAACTTTTGTATATTCAATTCCTTAGTCTTCCCTATCCCCTCTAGTACAGCATAGATCTCAGCTTTAAGAGAGTCCCCAACCCCAATGGGACCTGATTACATTGCAAGCACCCTCCCATCCTCATCTCTGAAGACCCCTCCTACTCCTGATGGACCTGGATTACCTTCACTACTACCATCAATGTTTAGCTTTGTAAAGCCACAGACTAGTGGTGACCACATAGGACAAAGAGATGAGAGAGCAGGAGCAGAATTTGCCACCTCCATCTAGCTATTCAGCAACATGTTTGTAGAAACATCAACAAACAAGTCCAAGGATTTAAGCGAGTGCACCACCCTAATTGTTATTACTTCAACAAGGCTTTCTTTACTTCTTTCATTTTCAGGAAAAGTTCTGAGCCTTCTGGCATTCCTTTCCTCCCATAGGGTTCAGCAAGTAGCAGCCCTTACAGATCTCCACGTAATTCTCCCCCTTTTGTTAGGCCATTGAAGGAACGAAGAGCTAAACAAGCTTTGAATATTTGGTAGTGGGGTCTGCCTACAACCAAATAAGGAAAGAAACCAAACCCAAAGATCAACAGCAAAGGGGCAAGAAATTAATAAGTGGTAGGAGATTTCACCATTAGCCTTGCAAAGGATGCACCAATTAGGAGACATGCACCAAAAGGCCTTTTTCTTTGGAGTAAGTCAAATGTATTACACCTTTCCAGGAAGGCTTCCCAACAAAATGCTCCAATCCTTGGAGGAATCGACTCACCCCAGACATCCTTAAATGGAAAATTTTGTGCAAAATTATTGGTCAAAGGCAAGAGGGACTTAAAGAAGGAAGCACAAGAGAAGGTCCCAGAGGGAGCTAGAGTCCATAGTCTCTTATCCCTCTCAGAGGGGTCCAACACCACCTCGTTCAAGATCTGAACCAGATTCAAGACACCTTCAACCTCTACATCCCTTAGGCCTCTTCTGAACCTCAAATCCCAATCAAACCCAAAGTTGAGAAGGAACTAGAAAATTGGACACAACCTTGCCTTTATACCTGGAGAGGGAAAACAAGGAGGGAAATTGGTCTTTCAAAGGTACCTCACCCACCCAAGGTTCAAAGTATTGGGCGTATCGTATCGTATCTTTTGAAAACGATACGGTCTGAAACGCCTGTTTCCAGGGGTTCGGATCCCCAATTTTTTTTAATAATAAAAAATAGGTTATAAGCTTTCCAAAAAACCAAACTTTGAAAAGCAAACTAAAAAAAATAGAGTTTCGGCCGTTTCTAAGTGCCGATACGATACAGCTGAAACTCGTATCGTATCGATACTTTGAACCTTGCACCCACCCAAATGTGCTCCCAAATTTTTACCTGATTTCCTGAGCAAAGGTCATACCTGATGTGCTGCAAAAAAGAAGGAAGAATGTGATGTATTGATTTCCAAGGAGAGGCACCATTAGACCTTGCCAAAGTTTCTGAGTCCCAGCCGCCATGTGCCTGACCATGAAAACTCAGAATTACCCTAGTCCACAACTTATCCTCTCACCTTCCAACCTCCACAGCCATTTCCCCAACAAAGCTTCATTTTTCTTCTGAATGTTACCTGATCTTAACTCTCCATCAACCCTACTTTTAGAAGCCAAATCCCAATTCACCTTGTGATCCTTCCACTCCTCCCTTGGTTCCCACAAAAAGCCCCTCATCAACTTCACCAAAACCCTACTTATCTTCACTGGAATCCAAAAACAGATACGTAATACACAAGCAAACTAGCCAATGTAGACTTAATCAAGGTAATTCTGCCACCTAAAGATGAGTAATTCTTCTTCCAAGAAGCCAATTTCTTAGTAAACCTATCAATCACAGGACTTCAAAAGCTCTCTCTCCTCGGGTTATCCCCTAGAGGCATCCCCAAGTAATTCAGAGGCCATTGAGACACCACACAACCCAAAGCTTTAGCCCGCTCCTTTATCCTGTTGTCATTGGCATATGATTTTCTAATTTTATGTTTGTGTTCTCTTGATTCTTCATTTCCTGTATACATAATGTATTGAACGTGAAACTCTTCTTATATATAGCCCTTTTGTAGGTGTGGTTCTCCTCTTGCATTAGCAGTTTTGTTCTATAAACAAAAAAAAGGAAAAATAAGAAACTATTAAAAAGACTTAAAACAGATCTATATTTACTGTTCCTTTCTGATCCATGTACTTTGAAAGATTTTTAGTTCGAGAGCTAACGGGATAATTTTCTTGCAGCAACGTCCGCATCATCCTGTCCGTCCAATTCCTTCGCAGCTCTGGTGCAAGAATTTTGGAAATAAGGAATATTAGTTGTACTTCTTTTAGACTATAAGGACAATAATGGTTAAACCTCCCTATCTTGCCATCTAGCAATGGCAAAGAACAAAGTGTGCTTTCTTTTGGTTACTGCAAAGGATCTGTTTAGTACGTGGTGTGTTTTTTGTAATGTCTGGGAACAATTGAATCTGTACGCTTGATGGATCGACGACCAATCACCATCAAACTTGTTCATTCTACTCAGTGTCAAACATAATGTTGGATTAATCAGGCTTAGGGGGTGTTAACAATATGTTTAATTTTGTTTTTCAAAAAAAGAAAGAAAAAACAACTGCTACATCAAAATCAATTGTTATAAACTTAAACAGGATCTTCTGAAGCATACAAAACATACTGAAAGCATGATGAATTCAACATGCAAAGTACGGAAGATGTTCTGAATGTGAGACTAGATGCCATGTTCTGTATTCACACACGTTTTGCATTCAGCAAAATCCTAATTGGCCGATAAATCCAATAAGTCAGTAGGAAAAAGTAATAATTAATGAAAACTGGTGTGGTAACATCATATCTTCCCTTTCGGGACTTGTACAAGTACGGTAAGGTGGGCTTGCTGATATGATACATGAAGGCGGAAAATAAAGGCAAGCGCGTACTTATCACACTCTATAAATCAAATCCTTGAGATGGGGGAAGGACTGCCGCATCCCACACATACCCCGCATGGATGTGTGAGAGAGAGATGAACATTCTTGATGCGATTATTCATAATTCGGCCTTTATTTTTCTCCTATTATGGTCAGATAAAGAAAATGTACAACCACCTCTCGACTCCTAAACCCTAAAAGTTGAGGTTGAAAAAGCATTTTGTGGGACACTAATCCTCCAACTGGGTAGGACCAAGTTTTACCCTCATAAATCATCTTATCAATTCTCATTGTTGTAAGCTGATTTTCCTTTTTTTTTTTTTTAATTTCCAACTAGTGACGTACATGTGATACGCAAGGGAAGATTCAGTCCACACAAAATTATGTCTACATTGTTTTCAAAGCCTTTTTCAGCGATGGACTGATTGTCTTTTTATTCATGGGGAGGTAATACACGACTGCAAGGGGCTGTGAGAGTGATTTTGTGAGGATCAAATCCGATTTTATATTATACATGTACATAGAGATAAAAAAAAGATATAAGTCGGGGTGCAAGTCAGGCCAGTTGGGTTGGGTTTATGGTCAACCCAGGCCCGGTCCTAAAATTTGGGCTTAAGGTCCGAGTCTGAGGTTAAGCTTGATTTTTTCAACCTGAGCCCAACCCACCCTGTAATTTGATGCACTCGGGTTGGGCTCAGGCCCGGGCTGGGTTCGGGTTGTTAATGAACCCACTCTAAAATTATACATATATAAATGTATTTATACAAATATATTTACATATATTTATGTATGTATGTTAATATGTATGCAAAATATCTATACAAATATTATATATACAAATATGTATGTATATATGTAAATATGTATGCAACATTTTCATACACACACATATATATAATTGGGCCAGGTTCGGGCTACCTAAAGATTTGGTCCAAGCCCAGCCTGAAAAATAAAAATGCCTGACTTCTTAAACCCGATGACTAAATATCCAAGCCCAATTCGTATAAAATTTCGAGTTGGATTGATTAAGACTCGGACTGGGCCCATCCAAGTTGCACCCCTACATATAAGAGTATATAATATGATACTCTTATCTAAGTTTTATAGTTTGCACACTTGCACCTAAACTGATGCCCATTTTCTTTCAGCATATCACACTTGCTTTGCTCTCAGCATGCATACAAAAGATGTTATCAATGTGTGATCGGATGCCATGCTCTATATTCACACGACTTTTGATTTCACTATATCCACTCTTATAAATTATAACCCATTGGAGCATGGAAGTTCAAATCCTAATTGGCCGATACATTATAGTAGAAAAAAGTATTAAACAATGAAAAACTGGTGTGACATCATACTCCGCATTTCTGACTTGGAGATCCTATAGATCCTAAAAGTGCGTTAGGGGAGGTTTGCCAATTCTTGTAAAGGTGATATGATGGAATGCTTTAAACGTTAAGTTTTATGAATCTAGTCCTTAGCCCCACCTTCCGGCACAACAAAAATTAAAAAAAAGGCAAGTTTAAGTGTGTGCAAAAAAAAAAAAATGTTAGACTGCGATTATTACCAATAAAATAAAGAAAAATAAAGGAAATGAAAGAAAAAAAAAAAATCGATGTGTGACTATTCATAATTCGGGTTTTATTTGGCTCCTACAATGGTCGAGTGAAAAAATACAACCACCTCTTGATTTTTACACCCTAACCCTTAATTTTAAATCCTAAATCCTAAAAGTTACATTAAAAATGCATTTTGTGGGACACTTATTCAATTTTTTTCCCAAAATTATTCATAGTTGAATTTTAAAATACCACTTATAAAATTATCACTAATTGAATTTTATAAAAAGTACTTTATGAAAGTTTTTATAAAAGTGCTTTCAAAGGATACATTTTGAAAATTTGAAAGAAAATAAATGACACAAATGCTTATTTAAGTGCTTATTAGAGAAAAAAGATTATCAAATGCCCAATACAAATAAATTAGGTACCAAAAGCACTTTAAAAAATTAGGTACCAAATACAAATAAATACATATTTGAATAAGTAGCTATTAAACATGGCCTTAATATGTTAGGTAGAGGGTTTTGAGTCAATCTTGCGAGGTTAATAATAATTTAAAGGGAAAATCTATGATGTAGAAAAGATATGATATGGAAAAAGTTTTGACCAATCAAAACCCACCTATGAATTTTGTTAAATTACACCTTATTTGTTACCACCTCTGTGATTTCATTTTATTGGTCAGTTGTTTTCCAATATCATATATTTTCCATATCATAGTTGAACCCTAATTTTAAATGTTACATTGTTAGCATGACCCATGTAGGTCTCAAACATGCGACCTTTGTGTTATTAGCACGACGCTCTAACCAACTGAGCTAATAGGTAGGGGTGTTCACTGGTCGGGTTGGGTCAAATTGAGTCATTTTTTTCAACCGACCCGACCTGACCTAGTCGATTTACTTATCGACTAAACAGAAACCGACTGACTTTGAAGCAAAACCAACCCAAACATGAAGGGTCGGTTTATCAGTTTAGTCGATTTTTATATATATTTTAAACTAAAATATCTTTATCTAAATATCTATTTATATTTAAGTTTATTTCTTTTTAGTTTTTATGCAAAACCAAAATATATATTTAAATCCATTAATTTTTTATGCAAAACTGATTTTTTGGTCAATATGTATTTAAATTTATACAAAACTTATTAAATATTGTACCATTGTATTACATTTGTATTGGTTTTATGTTTTTAGTTTTTATCATAAATAACTATTTTTTTAAAATTAAAAAAAACACAATTAAAATATATCAATATTTAACACATAGGGTAAGAACTAATTAATAATTACTTAAAAATAAAGGATCGATTTGGTTTAATTTCGGTTTTCATACATGAAAAACCAAACTGAATTGTTGGTTTATTTTTTCATACAAACTGAAAAACCCGTACTATTAATAGGCCAATCTCTACGTAGGTGTTACTTTCGCGTAATTAGCACGACGCACTAACCAACTGAACTAGGTTATAATAGTAAATTACAAGTTCAATCCACTAAAAATCAAGCAAGCTAAAACGTAGATATGATTTGGCCCATGCAGGTTTCGAACCTGCGACCTTCGCGTTATTAGGCCAGTCGATGTTAAGTTTTACTTCCTAATAATAAAATACAAGTTCATTCCACTAAAATCAAGCAAGCTAAAGCGAAGCTTTGACTTGGCCCATGCAGGTCTCGAACCTGCGACCTTCGCGTTATTAGCACGACGCTCTAACCAACTGAGCTAATAGGCCACTTATTTTTTATGTTCTTCAATAGCCCTTTATCAATACAAAATTAGGGGTTCATGAGCCGCACCAGACTTTCCGACCTTGGGCCCGAACTTACAACTTACAACGGCCTGATTGTAAAGCTTTTTTTGGTAAACTCAAAATGTGACGGGATAAAGCTTTTGTTTATAAAATATTAATTATGTATAGTATACATGTATTTCTTCGCAGAAGTATGGACAGGCCCAATGAGATTTCTGATTTCTGATCTTCCTATATAATATGTGTATAAAAATGTATTTTGTATATTTTGTAATATAATAAATTATAGTTGTCATATTATAATCTATATATAAAATATAAAGTATGACATTAAATAATATATATATATATATTATAAATTATATATATTATGGACATGTTGAGTCTGAAGTATTAGGCCCAAACTTGACCCTAAAATTTGTAGACTTGATACGGGTTCAATCTTGGAATGTGCCTGAACATAGAACTTAGGCCCAACTTCAGAATTTCTGAGTTGGGTTGGGCTGGATTTTTCGGGCCAGGCTGAAAATGATCACCGCTACGTGAAGATGATCATTAACAAACAAAAGGCCAGGCTGAGGTGCAATTTATTTATCATTTATTTGTCAATCCAAGCCCTAAATGGTCATTAACCGTGATGTTTGGAGAAATAAGTTGGGCACGTATAATGTGAAATCTGCATAATGGACTTTTCTCGATCAAAATACATTTTCCTCTGCCTCCTCCTTTAAATGGTCATTAATCCGGCAAAACTAAAGTGCCTTTTAAATACCAAGTGTTTGAATGGAAGGCTTTATGGGGAGGAATTCCCATAAGAAATAAGTTGAAACCATAGAATAGAAATGCAGAGGTACCATGCATTTTTTGCAATCATTAAGAGGAGAGTTTTTCACATCGATCTTTCAAATATGACTTTGCAAGAGCATGTCAAGCCCAACTTGGTATAAACCCCAGTACAGTGAATGGTGAACACCTACAAACTTATTTCGGATTGGCTTCAGTCACTTGGGCAATCTTTTAATGTAGGTATTAGATTATGCTTTTTGTCCAAATTTCAAGTGTTTCTATATATGATCTTGGAGGCGCACAACAAGAAGTTCCATCTAAACAAGGATGTGAATTCCGTCTCTTTGGTGGACAAAGCAAATGAAACAATTGTTGATTCATGTTTCACTCTCTGTCAGGACAAATTAAGGCCTCGTTTGGTTCGCGGGAATAGGGGTCTGGACTATTCCGATTCCAACAGTTTGGCTGGGCGGAATTGAAATCCCATTCTCACTCCTGCTGGAATGGCTTCCCCCATTTGAGGGAATGGCCATTCCCTGCCCCTCTCTTGGGATTAAAATCCCATTCTTGCTGATTTTAATACCCATTCCCATTCCTGCCTGAACCAAACAGATTATAGGAAATGACCATTCCGATTCCTGCTGCGAACCAAATGGGCTCTAAATGCATTGCTCCTAAACAACCATTATCTAGTATTCACTGATGGATCTTATGATCAACACACAGACAGCAAAGCATTGGTTTTGTCATCAAGAAATCTGATGATAGATAGATCATTGCAGCCCAAGGGTCAACCTGCAGAGCCATTGACAATTATGATGTAGAACTTCATACAGTCATCAAGGACTTAGAAGCTGCTATAGCATTGCAATGCCAATCAGTGTGAATTTTCTTGGATGCTAAAATAATAATAAAGAAGTTAAACTTTCTAATAATGGAGCGTACATGATCGATCAAGTGCATTTTGGGCGAATCTTACATATCCAAAGTCGGCACATATCTAAAATTAAGAACACTTTACCTTATTATGTTTATAAACTTTACCTTAAAATTCATTTTGGGCGAATCTTACAACTTTACTCACAATATAATTCAATCACCACTCTTTTGCCCGGAAAAGTTGTCAAAAATAAAGGAAAGCTGACAAACTCACAAAAAATGTAGGAAAAAAGTGTGGTCAATCAAGCTCTGCTTTCACGCCTAATGTTGGGAATAAGAATTAATACGCAGATACATTGAAAACTTGAAATATGGAATAACGAATAAGTTCTCGTTTTACAGACGCCCTCCATTAACAGCTGCAAAATGAAATTGCCGCGACTAATACTTTAACAGATGAACACAGAAATTTGTCAGACATCATACATCAAGACTTCCAACCTTGTGGCAATATCAGAATGGAATATCGAAACGCAAACGCGTCTTCTTTCTCGAATCGTCTTTTAGGCTGCTGCAGTGCAATTTTATTTGTATTAGTACAAATGTATGAAAGTGTAGATAAAGAGAATGAAAATTTTGCACCAATGCAAATAAATTTGCATAGCAACCAAACACAGCCTTATCATCATCAGATATCAACCGTTTGCGAGCTGATAGTCAGTGAACGGTTCTGATTAAATAACAAAATCAACAGGACTACAATAATAAAATGACGCAGATTTATGAAATTGATTTGTCCTCGTTGAAATACCCGAACCCGTGAATGATTGTACTATACACACAGTCCACTTTACTGGGAATGAAACAAAGAATGGAAGGAAGAAAAAGTAATTATAAATTCCACAGTTTCCACATTTTGGGAATCAATTCATCATCGCCTTTCCTATAAGTCCTAATCGGGGCTCTCCACGTGCAGACCATCTACTTCAATTATTATTTTGTGGGAGGATATGAGTATTAGCATCAGCATATGCGCCTTCCCCCCCATTCTCGGCTGGACGTCCATCCATCTCGCCTTTTCAGCTATTGAAACCTGCCCGTAGATTTTTCCTCGGGCAATTTGGAATCTGGCCTGCTTCCAACAGCTTCTAAAGTTTCGAGCAGATGCAAAAAGAGAGGGAGAGAGATGTGGAGATCGTAGAGTATAAATAAGTCACACCGGTTAGAACGCTACTTTGTTTTCTCGTCTGATCCAACCGAGTTACAGGACAAATGTGGTTAGAAGCAGGGCGATACTGAGTGGAAGTAGCTTCCTAGTGTGTTTTCGATCTGAATTTCTGTGAATTTTTGTCTTCTCCGATCCGGACCGTAGCGGAGGGCTTAAAATGTGGAATCTGGCTCGAGCGGCAGCGTCGAATCTGCGCCAGGCGCGGCGGTTCTCTGCTGCGATTCCAGGTCCTTGCATCGTGCATAAGCGCGGGGCCGATATTCTGCACGATCCATGGTTTAATAAGGTTTAGAATTGCTTATTTTGCATATTTCTTTCTTTTCCGTTTGTTTCCTTTGGTCAGTATAATGGCGATGCTTTTGCGTCAAGACTTCAAGTCAAGTGAGAATTCTATTCAAGTTTACAGTTTGTTTATGTTAAAAGGCTAGCTTTTATTTATTTATTTTGATTTTGGCAGGATAATTCATTGTTAGAGTAGGAACTAAATTTTATTTATATGGAATTTTGTATTCTGTGTCTTATATTATATTATATAGTTTAACCGTTTCAGTTCTGGTCTCCTGTGGATTTAGTATATATTGATTCTACAGATTTAGAGAGCTCCACCGAAATCGTCGTGTTTTGCAGCACATACATAAATGCCTATGTTCACTCCAGTTACAAATGTGAAGTAGCGTTTGGTTATGTTCACGAGTTTTGTTGGTTATGTCGGTCCTATAATTGAATTATGCGGGTTCTATGTTAGATTTCTAGATTTTGATATTTCACAGATCGGGATTTCTGTAGCTTTTATAGATTTTAGACAGAGCTGGAGCTTGAAAACCTTGCTTGCTTATCAATGTTGGAAATATGACAATAAGTTTAGGTAAATACACTAGTAAAGTTGCCAACCTCTCATTTGATGGAGACATCACTTTTCAGCAATTTCAAAAACCACAACACCCAAGGAGGAATTTAGGACATTTAGCCAATAGACTCTGTTTACAAATGAAAAAAAGCATGCTGTATTTCAGAAGATTTCCAGTTTCCGTTGCATGTCATGCACATACCACATGATCACTCTTTCTAGTGCCATCACCCACACTGACCACTCTGTTCAGTTACAGGCTTGTTTTTATCTATATGAACTGTAACATTTACATCTGACAAGGGCCTTATGTAATCTGTCATTACCTAAGCGCACATTCACCACTTATTGTGTTGAATCAGTAGATTTCTATTTTGAAGATCTTAATGTAGAAAGGAGCTTGCGAAATGACTATCCTGTTGCCACTCATATGGCCTGCTTGATCTTTACAGAATTCTGTAGCTAGACATTGTCCTAGTGATAACTAAAAAAATATGAACTTGATGGGATGACAATAAACTAATCATCCTATTTCAGAGACCTTAGTGGACTTTTTTTTTTCTTTCCAGTCAGAGGATTTCTATTGATCTGGTACCACTATTCCAATCAATGGATTCTATTCACTAACTTATATGTAGTTAGCTTTTTTGATGCTTACCTTTGCAAATACATGCATTGTACCTGCCTTCCACTAGTTAATTATTTAAAAAACAGAACTTCAAATATATTGAAGTCTGGCAATTTATTTTTGAGATGTGACCTTTTTGACATATCTATGTGAATGGAATTCTGAGTGATTTTGGTATAACTATCTTTTTAATATTCTTGGGTGTTCAAAATTTGAAAAAAACTTTGGAAGGATGATTTTTCAAAACAAGTTTTAGAACATCGCTTTTTTTGATAGTGACATTATTGTTGATGAGATAATGTGAAACTTTCTTTGTTTGATCTTTTGGCGGACAGGATACTGGCTTTCCTTTGACAGAAAGAGATAGGCTTGGACTCCGTGGCCTCCTTCCACCTCGTGTTATGTCATTTGAGCAGCAATATGATCGTTTCAGTAAGTCCGAGTGTTGTACATTCATGTTTTAGTCATGCTATATTTATTTTGAAGCAATGATGGAGTTAATTTGATCTTAGATGGGTTTATAGAAGTAGATATATACTCATTACTAGAATATCTAAAACTTTGAGAAACCTTGTATTGCTGAAACTATGAGATGCTTTGACAGCTTTCTTGAGCATGAAACTTGTGGAACAAGTTTGTCTTGAGTCTAAACTTTTTGTTGCATGTGACAAGAGATGGAAAATGAGAAAAGGAATTAACAAAAACAGCAAGGAAAATGAAAAAAACAAAAAACAAAAAAGACAAAAATAAGGTATAGATCTAATATTAGGTTTCTGTAGTTGCAACTTGCAAGTAAAAAGGGCAGCCCAGTGCATGAGGCTCCCGCCAATGCAGGGTCTGGGGAGGGACGGATGTACACAGCCTTACCCTAGCACATATAGAAAGGCCGTTTCCAAGATTTGAACCCTGGTCACACAGGTTGCAATGCTTTGCAAAGTGGAATGCTGAAATACTGAACCCTATATGCATAGACATTGTTTTGAATCTTAACACCACTTTTTAGTTTATCTGGCTTTTTCTACAAGATCATTTCAACACATGGTCTCTGGGTTGCTCCTATAATATACTCGTTGGTTTGTTAAGGATGGGTGGGTCTTTTTAGCTCCCCATATTTTTATAAATATGGTCAATTTTTAGAATGCTATTTCAGGCTTAAATAGAATATAAAGGGAAGTGGCAAAGCACTAAAGAAACTTGGTGGTGGAATGAAGAGGTCCAAAATATAATTAGATTAAAATGATCAATGCTACAAAGAATGGCAAAAGCTAAAAATGTAGACAACTAGGAAAAATATAAAACTATAAGAAAGGAAGTTCAAAAGAAAGTGAATGAAGTTAAATGTAAGGCTTATGATGAGCTTTACCAATAAATTAGGCACTAAAGAGGGAGAAAAAGGAATGTATAAACTAGGAAAGTTAAGAGAAAGGAAATGTAGAGATTTAAACCATGTTAGGTGCATTAAAGATGAAGATCAAAGAATCTCGGTAAAAGATGAGGAAACCAAACAAAGATAGAAAAACTATTTTGAAAATTATTAAATGAGCAACAGGGAGGAGGGGATAATGGAGGAGAATCTAGAAGTACTTGTTGTGTTAAAATTAATACGTATCTTCGTAGAGTTAGACCTACTAAAGTAAAAGAAGCACTAAATAAGATGAAAAAGGGAAAGACATTAGGCTTGATTGGATTCCAACAGAAGTATGGAAAGGTATGGGAGAGGTAGGCTTGTTATGTCTAACCAAACTATTTAATAAGATAGTGAAAGAAAAGAAGATACCTGATGGTTGGAGAAACAATAGCATGGTGCCTAGTCCTTAGGGGGGCGATGAGAAGATTTAAGTGGTTAACCTGCAACATAACAGTGAGAGTTCAGTGGGAGATGAGATCAACTAATGGACTGGCAGATTCTCTTGCTAAGCAAGGGGTGTTTAGGGACAACTTATTTTGGGCTCAATTGTAAACCTGTTTTCTCTTTGAGGCTGCAACTCGTGCCTCTTGGAACTTCCATACTGTATCCATTGATAGTTTCTCTTATTATTGATAAAATTCCGCTTATCACTTGTAAAAAAACAAAGGTGATGTACAAAGTTGTAATAACTATTGGGGGATTAAACTTATGAACCACACTAAGAAACTTTGGGAGAGAATAATTGAACAAAGATTATGACTTGAAACAAGTGTATCAGAGAACCAATTTGGCTTTATGCTAGGGAGATCAGTCATGGAAGCTATATTTCTTTTGAAATGATTGATAAAAAAGTTCAGAGAGAAGATGAAAGATCTTCATATGGTGTTCATTGATCTAGTAAAGGCATGTGATAGAGTTCTTAGAGAGGTAATATGGTGGGTCTTGGAAAAGAAAGGAGTTCAAAATAGGTATATAGACCTAATTAAAGATATGTATGTGGGGGTCATAACCAATGTTAGAACATCGGTGGAAGAGACTTCAGATTTTACAATTACTATGGGTCTTCACCAAGGTTCAACACTTATCCATTATCTATTTGCACTGATCCTAGATGAATTGACTAAACATATTCAAGAGGAAGTTCCATGGTTCATGTTGTTTGCGGCTGACATTGTTTTAATTGATGAAACTAATGAAGGATTGAATGCAAAATTAAGCTTATGGGCAAATGCCTTAGAAACAAAAAGTTTTAAAATAAGTAGGACTAAAATAGAGTATATGACGTAAATTTAGTAATAATAGGAGTGTAAATCAAGATACACTTAGGATTGGAGACCAAGAGATAACTCAATGTGACCATTTCTAGTACCTTGGTTCAATAATTCATAACAAGGGAGAGATTGAGGTGGATGTTACCCAAAGAATTAGGGCGAGATGGGCAAAATGGAGGGGTGCATTTGGACTTTTATGTAATAGACAAATACGACTTAGATTAAAAGGAAAATTCTATAAAACAGTGTTGGGCAGCCAAGAAACATGTCCAGAAAATGAATGTGGCAGAAATGCGATTGCTAAGATGGATGAGTGGAAAAACCAGAAAGGATAGAATTAGGAATGAAGTTATTTGTAGGAACCTAGGAGTAGCTCCAATAGGTGATAAAATGAGAGTGCAGACCAATATGGTTTGGGCATGTGCATAGAAGATCACCAACTTTGCCAGTTAGAAGAAGTGTTTTGTTATACACTGAAGGGGCTAGAAGAGCTTGGGGTAGACCAAAAAGGACATGGATAGAAGTAGTAAGAAATGATTAAGCACCAATAGTTTAACAGTGGATATGGCTTTAAATAGAATGGATTGGTGAAACAGGATTCATGTAGCTGACCCAATAGTTGGGATAAGGCATGGATATTTTTGTTTTTGAAGTCTATAACATCCAAAGAATGTCTAGTATATGGTGTAATTAACATTTAAGGTTCAAAAATTTTGCATAAGAACCCTGTATCTTTTTAGTTATGTCCATATGTGTTAGCAGAAAGATTGTCCATGGTTTCAAAGAGCATGAAACTCTGTAAATAAAAATAGCTACCATATTGTAATCTGCCTTTTGTATGACCATCTTCAATGGATTTCATTTTAGCATCTCTTTTCTTGACATAATTGGCTTTTATGATGTTTCTCACTCAAAACATGGTAAATCCAATACCAATGTTCTTTTGTTTGAATTGTTAGTGGAATCATTTCGATCCCTGGAGAAAAATACCCATGACCAACCAGATAATGTTGTGTCCCTAGCTAAATGGAGAATCTTGAACAGACTGCATGACAGGAATGAGACATTGTACTACAGGGTAAGCTGCCAATATAAGCTAGTAAATTTCTACTTGGCTCTAAACTTTCATCTAAAGTGATATCTATAACTTGTGTCTTAGGTTCTTATTGATAACATTAAAGATTTTGCTCCTATTATATACACTCCAACTGTGGGATTGGTATGCCAAAACTATGGAGGTTTGTTTAGACGACCACGCGGGATGTACTTCAGTGCAAAAGATAAAGGAGAGATGATGTCCATGATATATAACTGGCCAGCTGAAGAGGTATTTTGTGAATCTTTGAATGCACTGACTTATAGACAACTTTTAATTATATTACTTGTTGATGGTGTACCTGTTTCAGATTGTATAGTTGAACTACATTAAATGCTGTTTCCAGATATGACAAGCCATAACATCACAATATCACCATAAGATTCTCTTGTAGCCACTTAGAATAGGAAAGCTCCTTAGGCTTAGTTTGCAGCTCTTTTTATTTTATTTTATTATATTGAAAAAAACAGATTACAACCTTAGTCTGCATGTCTTTCCCAATAACATAGCCTAGCTTGCCTTTACCACCGATATAGAATTATAGAGCTTGGATGAGTAAATCCATTCTAGGATATTATATCCATTAAGTTTTAGTATTGTGGTTTGAATATTGATTTCTACACATCCCCATGGAAGTCTAGTTGGATCTTGAGATAGCCTTCAACTCATCAGTACTTGACATCCTTCACTTCTTTCAATCTGTTATGTGGAGCCACAAACCTACAGACCTCTCCCTTCATAGTCAACTCTCATAGAGGCAAAAGGGGATACACCAATGAAAAAATCACCAGCAATTCAACCAAAGAGTTTTATCACTCATGCACTTCAAGAAATGCCCTTAGAGGATCATAACAGTTGTCAAAACTCAAAACATTTGGAAAATGCCCTAGGATTGCACATACAGGGATAGACATTAAATATGGAAGAGTGTTTTCATCATGAACCTTCACAACTGCATGGAATTTTACATGAAAACATATGTTTGATCCCAAAATTATCTTACTGAGCTAAGTCAGCCCCACAAGCAAACACCTCTCCATGTCAATTCAATGAGCGGGAATTATGTCAGTATTGATTGGTCTCTAGTTGGCTAAGTCTCTAACTTAAAGAACATCTTGATTGAAGGGAATTCAAATGTGATTGTTGGCTGGCTAAAAAAGGACAAGGCAGGATCATGGAGATATAAGCACATAATAAGAGAAGTTATGCTTTTCTTCTCTCTAGGGATCATGGTTCACAATATCAGTGATATTTAAATTTCCCCAAAATCTCCCCATTTTGCTAGGTGGCAATTGAAATTTTCTGGGAATCTTTTTTTTTTTTCCAAATATCTCCAATACTTTGCTGATATTTCAGATTCCATTGGTAGACTATATATTTAAGTTTTAAAATTTTAAAATATTATTAAAAGCTTTCCAATATTTCATTAAGATCATTACAAGTTTTTAAAAATCTTTTCCCAAAAGAACCAAAGGAGAATAACTGATTGGATAATTAGGTTACAATTTTGATATGATTTACTTACTAAGTGTTGGTGTGAAAATTTTTATAAATTCTCATGCAACATAATTCACTCAATCAAGTGATTGAGTTTTTATTATTTTGGGTAAGGCCCATTCAGGGAATCATACGGATTCTTCCCCTTAATCACATCTACATAAGAAAGTAGGGAACACCTTTTGATTTTGACTTGGAGAAATGAACACAGAACAAAAGAAAAGAACAATAGGGTACTTAAAAAGAACTTTTTCATTTGTTTTTCTTTTACATCAAGTGTACAAGAATGAGAAGAAAGAAAAGAAAATACAATTGAGAAACTATACATCAATATATTTCTCTTTTCTTTTTAATACAAAGAAAATTTCCTTCTCACTCCTTTCTTCACATTAAGCTATAGTCAATCAGATGAAATTCTGATTGTAGACAACCTTAATCCATGGAATTTTGCATACAAAAAGGGAACCATAGTCAATCAAACTGAATATTTGATTATAGACGATTTTCATCCCTCCGCTCTTCATTTTCATCTGAAGGGAACCATAATCAGCTTCGAGAATTAGACTATAGATGGTTTAATCCCTTTGTCTTGAAAGAGGGACCATAATCAAACAAGTAGAGGCACCTGGTTGTAGATGATTTATTCTCCTCTAGTCTTCATTTTCATTTGAAGGGAACCATAATCAGTCTTCAAGAATTAACCTTAGATGGTTTAATCCCTAACTTTGTCTTGAAAGAGGGACCATAATCAACCAAGTAGAGACACCTGGTTGTAGATGGTTTATTTCCCTCTATTTCCTTTCTCAAAAGTGAAAATAAAAGAGAGAGGAAGAAGGATACATAGAAGAAGACATATATGGGAAGTATTCACAGAGAGGACTTTCTTTTTTCTACCTGTATTAGTGAGACTTTTCCTTCCCTGCCTTCCCTTGAGCACTTCTCTTTTCTTCTCTCCTTATCTTCGCTTTTCTTTAGAATCTCTTGTGAAAATTTTCTCCGAAGAGTCTCTCTGTCTCTCTAGCTTCCCCTTAAGGATCTTAAATAGGGAGTGGGGTAATTATGTAACTACCTCCTCCTCCTAGGTGAAGGGCACCTGTCCCTCCCACTTAAAGAGAGGGAACTCCTTATATAGTTTTAATGATTTGGCTAGCAGACTAGCCAACCCGCTTATTTGAGTTCTAATTTATTAAATATTATTTGGATTAAAAAAATGCCTTCAACACTAAGTCACTGTAATTCAAAAGAAAAAGGAAAATACTTACAACTATAAAAGAGGATTCTCACTCTAATAAAAAGATATAGTAACAAAAAAAAGACAAAATGGCAAGTAAATGACAAATTTAACAGAGAGAAGATGATTGACAGATTAAATGGGAGACAAAGAAAGATATCTATTAAAGTCTCTTGATTTTCTTCTATTTGATTTATACAGTTCTTTGCTATGTCTTTTTGAACCTTAAACGTGCAATTATAATTCTTCTAATAATTACTTGGAGGCTTATTAAGTATTCCATGCTTCTAGAAAACTTCCCTAATTTTTAAAACTTTCCAAATATTTTAGTGAAATTAGCAGAACATCTCCAAAATTTCCCCATCTCTACATGGTGAAATGTCCATTTATATCGAATTAGTGAACCATGCTGGGGATAATGAAAAGACAATAACACCCCTTTGAACATCAATAAACACTCTTGCAACAAGATCAAGAAGAAAACTATAAAGAAGTTAATTTTTAAGAAAACCTGAGCTTACACCATTCAAGTATTTTTTAAACCCAAAACTTTCTCCAGGTGGAAAGGTGTCCACCTTAAATTTTATTAACCATTGTTAAAAATCAGATTGGAATTTACAGGGAGGACATAGCCTGCCTTGCCATTTATCAAAAAAAAAAGGCCTGTCTTGCCCCAAACCCGTTGAACAAAGAGCTCTCCCTAAGCCACTCAAACCTCTCCCAGAAAATGATAAAATACAAAGTTATTTTACCCATTTGACTAGAATCCATGGCACTCCCAATTTATCTTCTATGATGCATTTCTGAACCAAAGGTGGCAGTGTATCACTCAACCAGAAGAAAATGCTGGTTCTTGTGTTGCAAGCATGATTTGCAAGGGAGTCTGCAATTTGGTTGCTTTCTCTATACGTTAGTTGTGCTGGATGCTACCCTTCTGTACAAATACACCATTTCATCCCAAATGGATAGTCAGGTCCAGGGAATTGACACTACACCAATTCAAGTATTTTTTTTGGACAAGCAATGGATCCTGTTTAGATGGTTGACTTGTTCTCTGCAATGTGGTGTCATCATCATCAAAAGGTTTAATAAAGTGGCTTAGATGATGAAGCAGTCCAAAGGTGATCTATAATGGTTTGATATAATAGAATTTCTTGATGAAGTGTCTACTGTTTTCCAATATGCATGCCAATGGCCAATGGCTCCATATTTCCCAAATTTGTGGCTGATTGCCTACTTTCTCAATAATCCACAAAATGTCTCGTTTTTCGTCTATATGTGCCTCTAATGCATGTGGATGTTACCCATTCATTGTCATGCAAGTTAGTATATAACTTTCACTTGACACATCGTTAATTTATTGGTCTTGTTATTTTGAATTAAGCTGGGATATTTTCATGCTTATATTTTTTTTCTGAAGTTTTAGGTATTTGATTTTCTAGTCCTTCTGTAATTTCTGAACAATTGAATGCTGAGTGATATGGAAGTCTTTCTAGCATTTTGAGTATTCAAATTCTGCATTTCAGTTGATTAAGACTTCAGATGCTTTAACATATTATTCAAAAAAGAGAGACTTACTGTGTATGTCTGTCAGCTGAAACTATCTACTGATAAATATAGTGGGTTTCTAAAGACATTTGCAGGTCCTTTAATTGTGATTGTTTTTCTCCTTGGTAATGAATTGGCCAATTGGCCATAGTAGAAAAAGATTGTATTTTCTTAGAAATTGTAATTTCTTATGTGCTTGTTTGGTTTTCACAAGGTTATTTGTGTAATTTCTGTTGTCATTATAGTGGTTTACTGATAAATATAATGGTTTTTTGAAGACAGTTGCAGGTTCTGTATTATTGTTTTTTCATCATGAATTGGCCAATTGGCCATAATAGAAAAAAAATTTTATTTTGTTAGGAATTGCAATTTCTTGTAAGGGTTACTACATGCTTGTTTGGTTTTCAAAACATTGTTTGTCTTTCTGTTGTCATTATAGTGGGTTGTTCCTCTGTTTTCACAGGTTGACATGATAGTGCTGACAGATGGAAGCCGCATTCTTGGCCTTGGTGACCTTGGGGTTCAAGGAATTGGGATACCTATAGGAAAACTTGATATGTATGTTGCTGCTGCTGGCATCAACCCACAGAAAGTATGTATATATTATACTGCTTCTAACATAATGTGTTCACATGTTTGGTGGCTTGCATGTTTGTATTATCTAGCTACCTGAGTTTTATAATGTTAACACTAATTTTAAATCTCTCCTATCAGGATTGTATATTTCTTTACTGAACAATTGAACATGTAATAGTAGTATGCCGGTATTTATTACCAATTATGGCATACCATTGGAAATAAATTTGTTTCTATACCACTTGACATTTTCTATCATGTCTTTTTTATCCATAGTTTTTATTCTATGTCTTTAGTAATTTAAAAAAATATATACATGCAACATGTACACGTTAAAAAAATAATGTTAATGAGATATTCCCAAATCCCAATATTTTTTTAGAGAAAAGATAAGGAATTTCATTAATCTGTTACTGTAAAGTGTAAACATGTATCACTATGTTCCATGCACATTGATTGACCTACACATTAGAGTAAAAGATGTACAAACAAAAACTCATAAATTCATTCCACAAAGATGGCTAAATAATATTGTCTGTTTCAACTTTAAACCAAAAGAGATGACAACCATGGTGTGGCATTCCTCCAAACAGCTCATGGGCTGAGAGCCAAGAGTGAAGAGTTGCCACATCCCACCTAATTACTTCAGATGCTTGTTTTGTTCTATTGTAAAAAATTCTGCTGTTTCTCTCCTTCCAAAAAACCATCCACATCACCTCCACATGAATTGTGCTCCAAAGAACCTTTCCCCTCTTGTTTAAACCCTGTAGCTTCCAATTTGCTCCCTAACATATCTTGGGTAGCACCAGCTACAGTTCACCAGGCTGCAGGAAAAAAAATCACAGATGCTTTGTGTAAAACATCAGCCAATGAATAGGTGGTCAGTGGACTCAGAGTGAGATCCACAAAGAGTGCACTCCACTGAGGTTAGATTGATTCCCCATGCAGAAAGAGTTCTTTGTAGAGACTTTTTCAAAGAACCACCTAGGGAATTGTGCTCCAAAGAGCCTTTCCCCTATGGCTAAACCCTGTATCTTCCAACCTATAACATGCTCCCTAACATATCTGGGGTAGCACTAATACTGTTCACCAGGCTGCAGAAAAAAAATGATAGATGCTTCTTGTAAAACAGCAGCTGATGAATAGGTGGTCAGAAAACAAAGAGTGATAGCGACAAAAAGTGCTCTCCACTGAGGTTAGACTGATTCCCTTTTGCAGCAAGGATCCTTTGGAGAGAATTTTCCCCATCACAGCTGACCAGACAAGAAAATTTATTTTGGATGGGACATGGGGTAACCAAGCCTCACTCCAAGGGAAATAATTAACCATAGGATCCACCAGATTGCTGTAGAAAGATTTGACAGAGAACACTCCATCCTTGGACCATCTCCAGAGATGTCCCTAATATTGATTTCCTTTATCCTGCTTAAAATGTGTACTCTTCGTTGGCATGGTCCTGGACTTGTAGTATTGATAAACCTTATTTTCATTTATGGCAGATACTTCCAGTTATGTTAGATGTTGGAACCAACAATAAAAGGCTTCTTGAAGACCCTCTATGTGAGTGTATAATTCAATTTCCTAGACTTCTTTCTAGTATACTTGTGTGAAACCTTTGAAAGAGCTTCATCTTTTATATATGTTTGAGAATAAACCGACAATTGTTTTAGATTATTCAATTATTTAATTTTGAGGATGGAATGCTTATGATTCCTTATGTTGACATATAATTAGGTTTAAAACCCACTTTATCCTGATTCCTGACTTTATTATTCACTTATTTTGATTTTGTTTTCAAATTTTATTAAAATAATCTTGTGCCTTGCACCTCGGGCACAAAATGCCCTTTGTGTTTGTGTGTGTGTGTGTGTGTGTGGCTTGTGCTTTTAAAACACTGGTCTTGAACCTACAAGTCTTCTCAAAGCAGTTTCTCATGATGACCCAGAATTTACAGTAATATAACCTGCAGCAGTAATATTATGTAGAGATAGCATTAAATTATTACATTGTACTTCAGAATTTATAGTCAGACAAAATAGTAAACTAATTACCAAAATATGAATGTAAACAATCCCATTTATCTATTCTGCATATTGTAAGAAACCATGGCTTTTAAATGAGTGATCTTGGTTATTGAAGGTTATCTTTTATTGATTAATAAAAAAGACATTTTACTGTAATCTTCAAATATTTTAGTTGTTTTCCATGCTAGGCCTTCTATTTTAATTGCATGAATTGAGATAGATTAAACAAAGATTGCTTCAAAATTCCTGTGGTTGGTAGGATATTGTGGTTATTGTGGCAAATCCTGTTCAGTTGCTATACCCATTTCTCCTAACCTTTTCTTTAACCCAAGTTATTTTTAATGGTTTTTATTGTTGCATTAAAGTTTTTCTTAGTAATTTAGATCCATGTGCCTTCAAAGTTCAGACCCTGCATTGATGGGAGCCTTGTGCACTGGCTGTCCTTGTCTTGGAAGTTGAGAGTTGTGATAATTTTTTTGACATCAAGGGAAATCTACTCTATCTAGAATTTTGAATTTACTATGGGTTGAGAGCTTCTGTGTTGTTAATTTGAGTATTTATTTATTTATTTTTGATAAGTAACTGAAGTTTTATTAAAATTAGCAATGCAGAAAGTGTTATGTGAAATGTTCCAGCACCCTGATGGTTTACCCATATGTACAAAGTGCCGCACCCCATTTTAGTGTACAAAGTGCCCTGCACCCCATTTTAGTGTACAAAGTGCCCTGTACCCCATTTTAGTGTACAAAGTGACCTGCACCCCATACTCCTAATTTTTTGATCAGCAAAGAAGATTTTATTGAAACCATACCCCTAAATTTTTAACACATGTTAGGAGAAATTTAAATGATTGGGAGGTGGCATCCTTAATCAGATTGCTCCAGCTTCTGTATGACTTGAACATATCTGGAATAGGGGAAGATAAAAGAGTGGAGTTTTGAGAAGTCAGGTATGTTCTCTGTAAAATCGTTTTTTAAAGCAGTTTCAAAGGAGGAAGCTATATCTTTCCCAAGTCAAAGAATATGTGTTAGAACTGTGCCTTCAATGATAACCTTTTTTGTTTGGTCAGCAGTGCTGGATAAGATTCTAACCAAGGACAATTTAGTCAAAAGAGGGTTAGAAGTGGTAGACATGGCATGTCCCCTATGTATTGGGAATGTGGAATCATCTAGTCATCTGCTGTTACACTGCAATTTTACTCACCGGGTGTGGTTAAGAGTGGTGGAATTATTTGGTGCTAAGCTATGTTTCCCTGCGGATATTATGGGACTCATAGAAGCTTAGTGGCTGAGTGGTCTGAGTAAAGCTGAAAAGGTGGCTTGGGGTATTATTCCCGCAGCTGTTCTGTGGACTGTCTGGAGTGAAAGAAATAACAAATTATTTGAAGGAATTCAAAAATCAAAAGAAGTTGTTCTGAGGAAAATTATGGGGATGATCCACTCATGGCTGATTGTACATCCGGTGTTTAAAGACAGACATCCAAGTGCTTTTTTTTGAGTTTAATTTTTTGTTTGTAAGGAGGGAGTAGTTTTTTTTGTTTAGGGGATTGAGGGCTGTATGGGACTGTTTCGTAGGGGTGGATTCGAGCCGAGATGAGCTGAACACTTGGCTATTTGAGCTCGGCTCGCTGAAACTGTGTTACGCTCGAGCTCGGCTTGGTTCAAAGCTCGCAAGTTCGAGCTTGGCTTGGCTCAAGCTCAACTGCAAGCCAAGTTTTTTTTTTTCTAAAAAATAAAAAAGTATACATATAATTTTTTTTATTTTACATACAAAAAAAGTAAGAATTATAAAAATCATTTATTATTAATATAAAAAATAAAAAATATACATATAAATATTGTTTTTGTTTTATACACAAAAACATAAGAATTATAAAAATTATTTATCATCATACATAACAAAAAAAATGTTATATACAAAGTATTAATATACAATAAAAATTATTTATTATATATATATATATATTTATTTATATGTATGCATGAAGCCGAGCTTCATTGGGCTTGAGCTCAGCTTGACTAGCAAATGAGCCTATATATCATGCTCGAGCTTGGCTTGAAGCTCAGTTTAAACCAAGCCAAGCTGAGCTTTTCACGAGCCGAGCTTGAATAGCTCGTGAGAAGCTCGGCTCGTGGCCACCCCTACTGTTTTGGTTTCTTTGTATATCCTCTATTCATTTCTTTTTGTACAGGGGTTTCTATAGTTGATTTTTAGTGAAATCACTTTACTGTTTTCAAAAAAAAAAAAAAAACACATGTCATGTACTTTATATTAAATTATGTGCTTGTTTTACCTTTCTCTTGGTGTGATATCATCAGACTATGTTAATTACAGATCTTGGATTACGACAACCTCGTTTGGAAGGAGAAGAATATCTATCCATTATTGATGAATTCATGGAAGCTGTTTTCAGACGTTGGCCGAAGGCTATAGTACAGGTTCGTTTCTTTCAGTAATATGATAAAGCATGTTATCTTTAATAATCATTATCTTAGTGCCATGACACTCTTGACAACTCAACCAGTTTGAAGACTTTCAAATGAAGTGGGCTTTTGAAACTCTCCAACGATATCGTAAAAGGTTTTGCATGTTCAATGATGACATACAGGTGAGTGCCTCTATGACATTCTCCTGGTTTTTATATCTACACTATTGTTAATTAATCATAGCTGTGCTGATTATTCTATAATTTCTTTATTAATGTTTCTTTTATTGTGCCGGAACTTCATGGCTTCATGGCTAACAGGGAACTGCTGGTGTTGCACTAGCTGGACTACTGGGTGCTGTGAGAGCACAGGGTCGATCTTTGCAAGACTTTGTGAAACAAAAGATAGTTGTAGTGGGAGCTGGGAGGTACTTGCAAAATCCCATGACTTTGGAGTCTCAGACTCTGGGTGTACTTTCATATACATCAATTCTGAAATAGCTGCATAGGCATTCTATTTTCAGCTTTAGCTCGCACTTCTAATGCTTTTGTCTGACATTCAGTGCAGGAATAGGTGTTCTTAATATGGCCAAACAGGCTGTTTCAAGAATGACAGGAGATAATGGAATGGAAAACCATAATTTCTGGTTACTCGATAAAGATGTATGATCTCATTCTTAATTTCTTATTGCTCACAACTTGCATTGCTTCATTTTCTTCATCTTGTATGGTATACGGTGATCAACCATTATTTTTGTCTGGGGTCCCTTAACCACTTTCTTATTTTATGTGCATGCAACCCATCTCATTAGCTATTTACTGAAAGCATCATGTAGCTTTTGTATGTGTGTGTACAAAACTAAGAAGAATCTATGAAACTTTTTTGGGCTTGTAAAAGTAATCATGCTACCTATGCTGCTGCACCATTTGTTTACATATTGACCTACATATCTATGTATAAATGTGATAATCAAGTTGTGTAAAAAATTCCTACAGTGAAGGATTTCAAAAGCTTCATTATTTCAATTGCATGTAATCCGATGTCCACGATGATTAATTTGCACTTGAGAAAGATGTGCAGGGTCTTATAACAAAAGAGAGAAAGGATATTGATGCAGCGGCTGCACCTTTTGCAAGAGGGTTTGGTCCAGGAGAAATTGAAGGACTCAGGGAAGGGGCTAGTCTCACTGAAGTGGTAAATTTTTGTTGGTTATCCTCAACAGACTTTATCCAAGTTTCATGACTTTTTCCCCTTTCTTTCTTTCTTTCTTTCTTTCTTTTAGTTTGATTATAGTGGGATGAAAATACAGTAAAATGATTTTGAACTCAAAACTTTTCCCCTTTGGAAGATAGACTAAACCCTTTTGCTTAATAACCGTTTTTCACTCAAACATCTTTTCTTTTTAAGTTTACACATGAATAATTGATTGATTCTTACTTCCATGACTATTTATCAGGTTAAAAAAGTCAAACCCCATGTGCTTCTCGGTCTTTCTGGAGTTGGTGGTATCTTCAATGAAGAGGTGTGCGTTACTAGGTGCCTATGTTTTTATCTTATGTCAATGGTTGCATACTTGCAGATGGGGAAGACTTGAGCTTTTACTCTTTTGATTTGTTCAAACTAATCCAGAACGAGAATGTATGTGCATTTTAAAACTAATTGATAAAGACAGCTTGTTGGGGCTACAGGGATCTGTTAAAGAAAGTTAAATGGCTGACAAGAAATATGTCAGTCAGGTTTCAGTGGGTCAGCAGATCAACAAATGCAATGGCTGATTCTCTGGCGAAGCAAGGGGTGTCAAGGGGATATCTGTTTTGGGTCACTTTGTAACTGTGCTTCAGGCTTGTGTATATTTAGTGTTTATGGCTCAGTCCTAGGGGGAGGTAACACCTCGTGCCTCCTCCTAGGCTGACTGTACTGTTGTTTTTTGAATTAACAAAACTACTCTCATTTATAAAAAAAAAAAAAACTAATTGGTAAAGACAGATTAGTTGTTGATAAATGGCATGTGTTGTATGTCACCTGCAATGGTTTCTCTAGTGATACTTATTTAGTGAAGTGTGGCCCTCTATCGTCTACTGAGGATAATGCAACACAGCTGGGTCTTATTCATGCAGCCTCAAGCCCTTACCACAGGGCTTCCTTTCTGCTAAAATGCCCTTAACCTATGGTGGTTCTATATGTCAGCCTATATCCTCGGCCCATTTTTAATTACCCACCCATGGTCCAGTCTTGTCATTTAACCTACACCTATGTATAAGGCCACTCTGGCAATCATATTGAAGAAGAGAATACACTAACAAATATTGTTAGAGAATCAATTCTGGTGGTTCTTGTTACTCTAATAATCAGTTTTAAGTTTGAAAATGTGAAAAATTTGTAGACAGAGTTCTTTTGAGCTACTCATCCTCCTAAGTAATTCTATGGAGAAAAATGAGCTCCAAAAGAGAATCTTTATTGGCTCCAAACTTGTCCTTTTAAATAGTGATTCTGCAGCCTATTTTCTTCATGTTTTTTTTTGGTTTTCATTTAATTATTGAGCAAGATAGGTTACCTATCCATTTTATACAAGGCATTATATTTTTCTATTTCCATTTTAGTAAAAGAATAGAATTTGTAGCTGAATTTTTTGTAGTTTCAAGAAGTGAGACTCATCTGTGATTTTGAGACCATATAACCTCCTTAGGATTGGTATAAAGTCTGTAGACTTCAATCCCAAGGTTGGACAGGCTGGTGAGACCATATATATCTTCTCTCTCTCTCTCTCTCTCTCTCTCTCTCTGTTCTTTCTTCTTGTGGAAAAACCCTCCATTAAAACTTCTTCAACTTGAAACACCTCACCTTGCCTTTTATACAACATCAATGCATTATCCCATGTAGTGATGATTCTGAAAGGATAACTACACTGGTTCTATGTTGGATGCAGATCAGCATGGTGCACATGAATCTAGTAACTTATACCATTTATGTAGATTTGTATTTTTTATTGGTAGAGTTGCGTTTTCTATATTAATGCTTTTATAACCTGATTTCTGTAAATAAATGTCATCATTATCATCCATGTCTTACCTCAACTGTTTCCAATGCATGTCTCAACTATATCCGGCCTAAGACATGATTCCTTTTTCTCTTTTCACTTTATCCAAGGTCATATAATCTCTAAGAAATAAATTGAAGTATTTTATATTATCAAATATTATTTGTATGCCACAATATATCTAGTTCTTTAACATCACATTGTATTAACCTTATTTTACTGCTACAACTGCCTGCATTAAATCACATGGTTCAATTCCCTATAGTCATTGATGAATATTATATTCTGACGTTTATTTTTTTATTTCTTATTCTTTCTAACAGTTGGTTATTTTCCATATTTGTAATGTTTGATGCTATTTCTGGAGCATATGGCAGGTGCTTAAAGCCATGCAGGAATCGGAGTCCACTAGGCCTGCCATATTTGCAATGTCAAATCCTACCATGAATGGTTTGTACTTCAAGCCTTACAGTTTTTTTCAAGAAGAGGGATTCTTTTATTTTATTGCATATTGTTCTTTTTTGAATATTATCTTCTTTTCCATTTTCTATGGAACAGCTGAGTGCACAGCTGCTGATGCATTCAAGCATGTGGGAGAAAACGTAGTCTTTGCTAGTGGGAGCCCTTTCGCAAATGTTCATTTTGGTAGCCTTCCTGCTTTTTTTACGACATTATTTTAGTGAAGGAGTGGGTTTGCACCTCAAGGAGGTGTTGAAATTTGGAAAAATAATGGTTCTGTTGTCAACATTATTTTGGTAGCCCTTTGCTAGTGGGAGCCCTTTCGCAGCTGCTCTTTTCAATCAATTAGAATTTGAGCAGGACGGAATTTGGAAAAATAGTGGTTCTTTTGTCAATACTCCTAATTTTTATGACACCAACAAATTACACTCCTTTCATACGTGCAGGGAATGGAAAGATAGGTCATGTTAATCAAGCAAATAACATGTATTTATTTCCAGGGTATGTACTGTTTTGTTGTTCAGGGTTGATCTTAGAACTACACATCTTGCTTCAGCCACCAGATATCCACGTATGTTCTTCTAATATGATGTCATCTTTCAGGATTGGTCTGGGAACTCTTCTGTCAGGTGCTCATTTTATTTCAGATGGGATGCTGCAAGCTGCTGCTGAATGGTAAAACTCAGTGTGAATAGAATTCATGCTTTTCAGTTTAACTTATTAGCACTAATTTTCATGTGTACAAAGAACTGGAACCATAACTGAGCAACATTTAAGAATTTCTGGTTTGATATTTGAGTCTTGAACTGACTGGTGAGATCTTAATGAATGCTAACTAGAAGTTTTGGAATGTGGAGGAGGTTGATGCAGTTTTCTTGTACCACACTGAGACTCTTTGCATTACTGTGTATTTCTGCATCATAACTTCTTCTATATTCCCTAGTCGAATCTGGGCAATCCTTGAAAATCTTATTGCATTGCATTTGTTGAATATTGTCTGCACACCTGATAATCAGTTCTATAACTTCATCAGAACCTGGACAAAAACAGGTACCCTCAAAAGAAGTTTCAATTTTCTCCATATTTTTATTTACTGGGGTGACACGTAGGGCACAATCAAGTATAATTTGAGTCTGCTGATTTATTTTGTCATAGATATAAGACAGAGTAAAAATGTCTATGAAGCGCTACCATAGATACAAGACTTATTTAAATGGAACTTAACATAGGGTCTATAGATTTGTCATGTTGTTATTTATTTAAAATTCTTTCTTTTAAATTCACTCTACTAATTTAGCTTGCTGGTATTTTTACAGTCTTGCATCATATATGACAGATGAAGAAATCCAGAATGGCATCCTTTTCCCTTCTATATCTAGGTAATATTCTGCATTCCATGTCGTTTGATGCAGTCTTCTAGTGTGGTCATGTGGGGACATCTTATTTCTGGAAAATGGAGCACACACAATTATTAGTTGAAAAGGCACTTTTTGGAACAGAAAATTTATGCAGTTATTTTTATTATTACTAATTAAGGTCATCTGTGTATTTTTACTAGTGTCATGTCCCAGTTATCAAACAAGGTTTGCCCAAATTAGCACCTTCCAATTGAATGATCAATTTCTTCAAAATTCTTGACTAATTGAACAATAATAATTGCCTTGTTGGTTCAGTTAATAGACTGAGGGGCTGCTTAATAACAGCTGAAATGGCTGAACTGAAAAGCTTATTGTTTTGTCTTTTAGTAAGTTTTTAATGAGGTTCTGGGCTCCTTAATGGCTGAAGCTGAAGTTGGGTAGATTACTATATCCTTGAATGCTTTATTACTTAATTATTTTATCCACTAAAAGACAAAGCAGTGCATCATTCAATTCAGCTACTTCATCTGTTATCAAACAGCCCCTTAGTCCTTAGACTTTTGGATTGCTTGCGCATATGCATGCTTGTATTTGCTATTTTTCTTTTACAGATGTTTGATTGTCTAGTTTCTAGCTTCTTTCATCTGATGCAATCTGGCTCTTTTTTTTTTTGTTTTGTTTTTGATGAATAACCCAATCTGGCTTGTTGTTAGTTAGCTTCTTTGCAATTATTATGATGTTATGCCATTTAGTAATAGGATCTTTGGAAACCACCCATGATGCATGATTTCATCGTGGTTTTTCATTGCATTTGAGAGCATAAGTTCACTGTTTTATACAGTGATTGAAAATTACATTTTTGACGTGACTACACATTCCGTATGGCATTTAGCACAGTATATAAATAAATTGAGATTGATGTTGAAGTTGAAGAAGTGGGTATTCTTGGTATAGGATGTAAAAGTGTGGCCACCTGGTTAGTTTCATAACCTGTTGTGTACCATGCAGTATTCGGCACATAACAACACAGGTTGGAGCAGCTGTTGTGCAAGCAGCTGTTGCTGAAGATCTAGCTGAAGGGCATGGCGAAATAGGGCCCAGAGAGCTCATGCACATGTCAAAGGTATGAGTGTGCTGATCTTCTTTTACATTATTGTGAGAAAATAGTGTTAAGATTCCCAGCCTTGATTTACGGCCATACAAAAAAGGGCCCTGAAATGCAGTAAAAATTTAAAGTTAAATCACATAACAATCTTATTTTAAAGTTCTGTTGTTTATTGATCTTATGTCGATGCAGGAGGAGACTGTGGAATATGTGGCACGTAATATGTGGTACCCTATCTACAGCCCCCTTGTTCATGAGAAATAAGGGTCACATTTTCAGCAATTTTTGGGGAGGTTCCAGGCAGTTATACCATAATTATTGCCTCTCAAATGATCCTTGCCATAATTTTTTTGCCTGAACTTGCAGATTTAAGTATTTAAAAGAAAAAAGAAATGCAGTAACCAGAATTATGTTGAGTCTGCCGTCTGCATCACTCCTATTGTTTCTTCAACGTTCCAACTTAGGAATCAGGAGTCTCCGTACTCCTCTCCCCACCCTTTGTTCATGGGAAAATTTTTGGTCCTAAGGACCTTCCTTATTTTACGATCAAACTTTGCATTAAAAAGCTAAAATTTGAATGGCTATTATTGGTTGCAAAAAGCCACAAACCCAATACAAGGTCAGGTATTTAGTATTGAACGTCAATCCAGTAGGTCCCCTGTCTGGTGGATGATCTGGATTGGGCACAGGATCCCTCCACATAGCAAAAGTAAGGTGCATGGAAGCTCCCTCCCTTGCTCGATTATGAAGCCTTTTAACTTTTACAGCAGTAATGAACTTTGCCAAAAATAAGCCTAGACAACCCAAGAATCTTCCACATGGCAAGATGGCCAGGACCCAAAAGGAACCTGTGCGTTTCTCTGACCACCATTTGTTCCTGGGCAAATTTTACCTTGAAAGCCTTGCTTTTTTTCTTTCCTTTTGGTAGCCTTGAAGCCTTTCATAGTTTCATGTGCCCAGAATAAGCCCTCCTTTTTTTATTATTTTTTCGACAAGTTTCAAAATAAAAAACGGAAACTTTGGATGGCTAAATCATTCCGGAAAAAAAATGCAAGATGGGGCTAAAGACTATGGATGATCCAGATCACCTATATAGATTATTTGAATTACTATATTAACCCTCGAGATAATAGAAATAAGATAGTCCCTGCTTGGATAAATTGAGAAACCCAAGGATTAGCTTGTTTGTCGTGTATTTTATATATTAGTATATTGGAGGTTCGAATGAGTTGATTTCAAGATGAACGTATGGTTGTATTAACCATGGTTTTTAAAAACGAACTGGTCAGGGGTCCGGTTACTAGTTCAATGGTCCGACCGTTCAATTCAAACTTTTGGCCTGTTCTGACAAAAAAATAAAAAAAATTTAAAAATTGGAAAACGGTTAAAACCGTTTGAACGGTTTGAATGGTTAATCATCCGGTTCAGCGGTTTGCTGACCAAAATCAACGGTTTTGGGGGAAAAAACGGTTTTAAAGAAAAACGGAACCGGTCAGGTGACCGGTTCCCGATTTTTCTAATCCGACCGTCTGATTTTGAAAACAGTGGTATTAACAGCCCGAGTTCTGGCTTTCTGCTGAATCCCCCCAATCATACTGAAACTGGGTCCCTTGACAACGGCAAAAATGATTGAACTTAATGACTTAAATGGCATTTTGGATTGATTACTATACACCAAAACATGTTATAGTGTTTATTTTATTCACTAAAAATTGAAATCAGAAACTTCGTGATGGAGTTCACAACTCAATTATTCAATTTCTTTTGCTCAGATTTTTTTAGCTTTTCTTTTTCTCTGACTGCGATCAGAAACTTCGTGATGGAGTTCACCACTCAATTCTTCACTTTCTTTTGCTCAGATTTTTTTTGAGCATTTCTTTTTCTCTGACTGCGATCATAATATGAACAACAAAAGAATGAACTTTGTCAATTGCCTTGGCTTGAAATTTATCCTTCACAAGCTCGGTTCCAACCGCATAAATGGCGGGCGCAAGCAGCTCTTGTCTTATTGTGCCATAGGCTGTTTAGCGTCTGCAGTCTGCTTGGACAAAGAATTTTGTCAAAAGAAAGGATAATAAAGAAATTAAAAATGTCATTCTACATTAAATGCAGAAAGGATAATACATTTTACTGAATACAAAACCGAAATATGGAAAGGAAGGATTATTGGCAGAACCGAAGAAACAGTGGTCATTTGGAATTTTGGACTACTGCAATCATGTTTTGTCTTCGTTTTCTCCGGAAAAAATCGCTAATGGAGTAATTTAAAATATTGATGACCTAAGAGAAGAGATGTTCGATGATCTGTTGCCCTGGCTTTTATAGGATTTCAACGATGAGATGCTGCAGGGAAATTGCTGCCCTATTACAGTCTGTGTCTATAAAATTTCCAAAGCCACCATCGATGCTTATACAAAGTTACTAGTCAAGAAATCAACTTCTGCATAACACATAAGTTTCATTCGTTTTTACTCACCTGGGTAAATGTGGTTATCCGGTGAAATGTCTCCTGGTTAAAACTTGTCTGCCTAAGCATGCTTCTGGTTTTCTTATACACTTAATATAGTTACAGAGTAAAGAGAGGTGAGATGGTGAGAACACATACCCAAGTTGAGAGAGAGTATCAATTACTCGGACACTTATTGACATGGTTCAGCAGATGGGTAAGTGGTTTACCCAAGTTGAAGGAGAGTATCGGTTGCCTGAGTAACTGATACCCTTGGGAATCCTCATTTACTTAGGATGTAATATGTAAAATGAACATTGATATTATGGTCAACTTACCAGTTGACCGACTTATCCCCTACTAAATACAAATAGACTGGTCTACGTAAACTTATAAAGCTATGAAGCCCCTCTACTGCTTTACCCATTAAGCACCTTCCACCGTGATGTTAAGCACCTTCCATCGCGCCTCAGCATACTTTGGAGTGTTATTGTGTGTGTCATAGGTGGGTTATGTATGTATTTTGCATGGGGGTATACCAATATCCTTATTGTAATTATATAGTATGATTTTTTACCATTTTGATGTTTCCTTTTGTCATTCCTCCAAAAGTTTTACTTATTCTTTGAAGGGAGGTAAGTAGCAAGTGAACTAAGAACATCTAAAGGTTAAGTACGAGGTCCCCTCAACATTAAACTGTGTGCTTATATTTGTCATCATTTTATGCAATACAAAGAGCATTTTGACTAATTTGTGTCTTATTTTTGCCTTTTATGTGTTGTTACTTACTTTCATAGGTTTATTCAGCCCAATCGAGCGCCGCACGGGGCCTCATCGACTAGCTCCATGACAATTGGTATCAAAGCCAGGTTGCTCTTGACGCATTGTGACCCTTGCACAACGACACTGGTGGTGGCGCAATGAAACACAACAAGGAGTTCACCAACGGGATACAACATGGACTTACCCATGCCCAGGAGACCAATGAAGCCATTGTGGAGAAAGCCCCAAAGGGCTATACATCCAAATCAAGCAAGCATGACAAGTTGGTTGACAAGCTTGCTGCCTTTTGACACACACATCCTTCGTTGCAAGGTAATAGTTAGGGAGATGCATGATCGAGTGGAAGAAATCCATCTTAATGTTAAACCATCAAGAGCTCCATGGTGGAGCTAGAAGCCCACATGAATGGCATATTGAACGAAGTCCAAGACATCCTGAATGACACCCTCAAGGAAGTCTTTGGCACGCCACCCCGACAGGAAGGGAGTTCCTCCCAATCCAGCATACAAGACCAAGTTGATGAGATGAAAGCTGAATGGTCAACATGGAAGAGAGCCATGCCTACGCCCGTAGCCGTTCAAGCACAATTAGAAGAAATCAAGAGAAAGTGGATGGCCATGAAAGCTGCCATGGCCGCCCCTACTAACATCCAAGCACAACTAGACGACATGAGTGGGGATATGACCCTTCTAAAGAGAGCAATGGCCAACACACCTAGACCCTCCACATCACTAGCCTCTGCTCATGTGAAGATTCGGAAGCCTACACCTTATGTCGGCTCCCAAGATGCTCAAGAACTTGACAATTTCTTTTGGCAAATGGAGTAATATTTTCGGGCCGCTAACATTGATGATGACACAACTCAAGTTCGTACTGCAATCATGTATTTGATTGACATTTCTATGCTATGGTGGCGCAGGCGATGCCAAGACATTGAACGTGGCACATGCACCATCAACACATGGGTTGATTTCAAGAGAGAATTGAAGCAGCAATTCTATCTGGAGAACGTGGAGTGCCTAGCCCGAAAAAAGTTGAAAGGACTCAAGCACGGGGACTCACTCCACAAATATGTCAAAGAGTTTTCAATACTTACCTTGGAAATCATGGACATGTTCGACAAGGATCTATTGTTCAATTTCATGGATGGATTGAAGCCATGGAAGGAACTAGAGTTCCAACACCGCAATGTGCAAGACCTTGCCACAAAAATGGCAGTGGTAGAAAAACTCGCTGAGACAACCTTGTCAGCAAGGTTTAAAGCATTGGCATGATACGCCCGATACAGGGTCGTATTGTGTCGTATCTTTGAAAAGGGATACAGGATACACATGAAAATCGGACATATTGTCTTTTTTCATGTGTGTCGGGTATTGTATCGATACAATACATGGGTGTTTCGGGCGTATCAATGTCGTATCGGTCAATACACTACCGATATGGGGGTGTATCAACCGATACCCCCAAACCACTCCAAATATTTGGAAAGCTTGCCTACATTGCTAGATCTACAAAAAAAAAAACCCAACAAAAACGCATCAAAAGTAAAGATTTGAGAAAAAATTTTCAAGTTTTGGAAAATATTACGAAAATAGGTGAGTTCTTAAACTTTTTTTTTTATTTAATCCTTTTGATTTGTTGCTTTTTTTTTGTTTGAATGCTTGAATGTGTTATAATCTTGGATGATCTACATTTCCCATGTCAAAAATCACAAATTTTTTGATTATATGTGTAGGTCTATGGATTTTGTGAGGAAAATTGGAAAAAAATAAAAAATAAAGAAAAAATAGAAAAATGTTTGTTTTTTTATTTGAATGTAAGAAATTAATATGTTAGAAACCTATGGATGATCTACCATATCCATGTAAGATTTGAAATTTTTTGTAATATTTATTTTCTTTGAATTTTTTTGTAATTTTTGAAATTAAAAAATTTATTTTTTATTGTGAACTGTCCATAAGAACTACATATAGTGTTAATATATGTTTGATCTATCACATTCATAGACCATTTGGCATTTATTCTTCAAGTATGATTTTTTTTTGTAATTTTATGAATTAAAAATTAAATATTAATTAATTATTTTTATTGTGGTTTGTCCATAAGAACTGCATATAGTGATAATATATGGTTGATCTATAATATCCATAGATAATTTAATATTTTTTCTTCAAATATGATTTTTGTTGATGTTTTTTTGTAATTTTCAGAATTAAATATAAATATTAATTATTTATTGTAATTTGCCCATAAGAGTTGAATATATTCTTAATATATGGCCGATATATCATATCCATAGATCATTTGATATTTTTTCTTCAAATATGATTTTTTTGTTGTTGTTTTGTAAATT